ACACACACACACACATACACACACACACACACACACACACACACACACACCTGCACGCAAAGCGGTAATCTGAAAGGCAGCCCAGACTCAGGTGGAGGCTGGGCTTCCTGGTCCATCTCAAATGAAGACTTGTGCCCGCTCCCAGGAGCTGTCTGCTTGGAGCCCTGGGCTCTGCAGTACGCTCAGAGCCAGTGTAGGTGTGGGTGGCCACAGTTAGGCAAAAGCTCACAGCCTGAGCTCTGGAGCAGCCCAGAGCACCATCAGAGCTCACAGGGCCTAACAAAGGCAGGGGCTGAGGCTGGGCAATCCATTGGCCCTGCTTAGAGCAGAGAGGACATCAAGGAAAGCTTTATATATATATATATATATATATATATATAAAACATATAAGTGTTATATATTACATGTATAATATAAACATATATATTACATAATATGTTACATTATTACATATATATATATTATGCAATATATTGTGTATATATATGTATATATTACACATATATGTAATATATAATATATATGTATTTTAATCTCTGCATGCCTCAGTTTCACCATCTGTAACATAGGGATAAGAACAGTACCTGCTTATGGGATTGACATGGGATTGTATGAATTAATACATGCAATGGACTTAGAACAATACCTGGCAAAGAGGAAATGAAACCAAGGGGTTAATTTGATCAGGGCTGCCTGGCCTGCTTGCTTTTGGTCACTTACTTTTTAGTACTTTTTTTCCTTTTTCAATGAAGCTAAAGTCCATGGTAGCTGACGGCCTCACCACTGAATGCTGAAACTCAACCTTCACTGGCTACTTTATAGATAACATTCACCAGTCACCAAGGTCACAGTCACTTCCATTATTGTTTTTCAGGAACTTGGGGCAGCTCCCGTCCAGTTCAAACCAGCTGAGGCCACTGACCCTTCAACTGGGCCTGCACAAATGCCTGAGAGGTGGCTTTTTGACATCGAAGAGCCAAAACCTCCACCCTCAGGTCATGCTACCACCGCCGTTTTCTGTCTACTGTGCTATGAAATGCCATGAACCCCAACTGCACTTGTGCAGAATGAATGTGTTGCTTCATTTCCACGCTGCCAATTACCTTTCCCCATGCCTTAGAGCACTTCACTCCCCTAACCTATAAATACCCCTAAACCTTATCTTCCAGCAGGAGGATTTTAGAGCTGTTCTCCTTTCTCCTCGCTTGGTGCCCTTGAGGGGAATAAATCTCTTTTGCAATCTTTGTCACAGTGATTGATATACTGCAATGAGTGGAATGAGCCTGGACCTAGCCAGCCACAGAAACACTCAAGTATCAATGGTTATTACTATGCCACATGGCATTCCAAGGAACCTGGCAAGTTGGACTATTTCCATCTTACTGATGAGGATACCGAGGCTCAGAAGGGGCATGTGACTTGTCTGAGGTCACACAGCTAGAAGGAGACAGAGTCAAGATTTGAAACCAGGTCCACATGACTCAGAAGATGAAACTTTTTCCAGGGCCCCACATGGCCTTGTCATGCTCCATGGAGCATGGCCAGCCAGGCCCTTGGGTGTGGGACGTGGAGCTGGAATGGAGGCAGCCTGGTTAGTGGCCCACCTGACCATGGCACTCAGGGCCTGAGGCTCAGGAAGGGGTGTGGGTGAGGAAGGAGGAGAGTCTCCTCTTGGGGAGGCTTGGCACCTGCTAGCCCAGGTCCTGAGCTCAGATGGGGAAACTGTCTGGGCACCTGGCCTGGGAGGAGCCCCCTAGGGGAGCCACTTCCACACCTGCCTCCAGCTCCCAGCCCTGCAGGGGTAGCTTCAACCCAGAGCTGCTAGAATTTGAAGTTACAGGGCTGTACCAGCCTCCTTGCCACAAGACTCTGATAGTTTAAGTTTTATAAGTTCATTAAATTTGTGCACAAACTTTCAAGGAAATAACATTACACTGTAATGTCATTACATTGTAATGAGAGCTAGAAATTGGCACTCTGAGTTTTCAGTGGTCATTCTAGTCACCTACTTGGCCAAATGACGCAGATTGTTGAGGAAAGACCTCTGTATACCCCATGCACTTTGAGCAGCTGTTGGAGCAGATGACCAGGGCGGGGAGCAAGGAGGGGGTCACCTCCTCTGTATTCAAGGTCACTATCAAAGTCCTGCCTCAGAGCAGGGACCACCCCAGTTGGCAGCTGGGGGACTTTTACCCTTCCTCCTGTAATTGTATCAGCCCCACTAAACAATACCCTCTAGGTAGAAACCTCGTGTTTGCATTGCAAATCGAGCTAGAAGACTGGGTTTCCCAAGTCCCCCACAAACCACCACGGAGCTGGCACAGTTTTGTACTGGTTTGCATCTATGTCTTGCCAGTGGCCCCTCCAAAAAAAAAAAAAAAACCTTAGCTATGGATTCCTGAAATTTAAATCCACATGCTATGCATGTCAGAGCCTGGAACACAAAAGGGAGGGTCAGTGTTTGCTGAGAGACAGGGTGATGTGCAGACGGCGCCATGCAGGTGGTAATGCTGCAGCATGAATGGTCTCTGGAGGACCAGGGGTCCCAAAGGGGCTGAGGAAGAGTCTCAGAAGAGATGGCCTCCAGAGGGTGAAGAGGGGCATGCTAGGCTGAGCACCCAGCAGGGGTGGGAGATGGTGGGGCTGGAGAAGAGCCCAAGAGCCAGGATGCAGAGTTGAAGGCTATGTGATATCTTCTGGGTGGATCGGAGGCTGAGGTGAAGCTGGGCCTCTTACTGACTCCTTGTGGTACTCGTAGTGGCTGTGGTAATGGTAAAGTGAAAGGAGCAGTCTTTATGATGATGCAGGCTGAGCTGGCTTAACCCTCCTCCCAACAACCTGAGCTCCAAGGAGCATCCCACCTGACCAGAGGGATCATTTTCCTGGTTTTTCTGATCTGGACCTAGGAAGAAGATAGGGGAATGTTTGAACATGGTCTGGATGTTGCATTTAATCCTTGCAACAATCTGATGAAGCGTTATCATTGTTTTTGTCATTATTGTTCCCATCTCCGGGATGATCTCCCTTGTGTAGGAAGAAACTAACCTACCCACAGCACGCAACTATAATCAGTGGGACCCAGTCAGAGCTAGAAGAGACCTCCCTCTGACCTTCAATGTGGCAGAACACGCCACCCTCCAGGGGTGTGAGCAGCCTCCTGATGCCACACGTGTTGGGGGAGGCAGATCTGGCCTGGATACACCCCCTACTACTGCCTTCCCACTGTACTTCTGATGGATCACTACCATAAATACAAACCATGCTACAACAAACTCTGGTGTGCATATGTCTTGGTGCACCTGTACACACGTTTCTGAAGAATAGATTTCTAGCACTGGAATTGCTGGTTCGAACCACAAGCGCTTTCTAAGTTTCCATAGATACTCGTGAGTCCTTTGACAAAACTGTGGCAGTGCTGCTGCCTGCCAATAACATACAGGGATGCCCATTCCCACACCTGTGCCAGAGGGGTTGCTATTTGCCTTTTGCCAGTGTGGTAGAGAAAAACATTTTTTCTTTAATTTTAATTGCAGTCCCCTGAGTATCATATCTAAAGTTAAGCATCTTTTACCTTTGCTTCTTGGTCATTTATATTTATTTCACCTGTGAATTACCTTTTGCTGACTTTATGTATTTGATCTTTTATTATGTATTTATTTGATCTTTCTACTATTGTTTTAAATTTGCTCTTTTCAGCATTGATTTGTGGGTCTCTTTGCATGTTCTGGGTGTTACTCATCTTTTTTAGATGTTATAATAACTTTCTCCCAGTCTCACACTTGTACACTATGCATTTGTAATGTTATTTTTTGACAAACAAGGTTTATATTGTTCAATCCCTAAATCATAAATTTTTTTGCTTGTAGACTTTTATGTCTTAATAAGGAAGTACCTCCTGAGATGATAAAAAAAGTTTTCTTTTAATGTTGGCCTTTTAAAACTGTTTGTAATTTATTTTAATTATGCTATGGGATTGTGCTTAATAGGATTTCTTTCATATAGAAGGCCAATTGCCTCTCCCCAGTGATTTATTATTTTATTGTTTTGTTACTGAATTTCAAAAGTCAACTGTGTGATAAGCTATTTGTCCATGTGTGCACCATTTGTTTCTGGGGTTCTCTATTCTTTGGATATTTCTACAATTCATCACTGATTTACCTGCTGTAAGTTGATAAGACATTTGGACATCTGATAAGGAAATTGACCTCTTGTTTATCTTTCTTCAAATTTACTCAGCTATCTCTGGAAGTTTCCCTTCCAGGGAAACAAAATCTTCTGGCCATATACCATTAATAATCTTACTTGGCTTTCAGTTGCCATGGTCCCCAAACTTTTTGACACCAAGGACTCGTTTTGTGGAAGACAGTTTTTCTACAGACAGATGGGGTGGGGAGGGTGGGAGAGGTGTTGGTTCTGGGATAAAAATGTTCCACCTCAGATCATCGGGCATTGGATTCTCACAGAGTGTGCAAACTAGATCCCTCGCATCTGCAGTTTGCAGTAGGGTTCACACTTCCATGAGAATCTAACGCCTCGGCTGATTTGACAGGAGGCAGAGCTCAGGCAGTAATGCTCACCACCCACCACTCACCTCCTGCTGTGTTGCCCCATCCCTAACAGGCCAGGGACTGGTACAATGGAGTTGGGATTCCACTGAATTCATAGATCAATTTATGGGAGAATTGACATATCTCACTCAACTGAAGGCCATTCAGTAAACTTTGGCTGATTTTCAATATAGTTCTTAGACAT